CGCGCGCATGGGACCGTTCTCTTCTCACGGTACCGCTCTGGGACTCGCGAGCTTTTCCATGCACGAGGCGCACTGCACGAAGGGGCGTGCTCGACGCGCGCATGGGACTGTTCTCTTCTACTCACCTTGCAACCCACCAGCATCCGGATGGCGCGCTCTCGCTTCAGAAAGAGAGACGTTGCGCTAGACCATGCCCCCACTGTCTTGGAAATCGTCAATCTCGTGGCCGAGATAGCACCTGTGCCCTGTCTTGGCCTGGTCGCCGATGGGCTATCGTCTGTTGTGGAGCGGGTGCAGGTACGGATTCGCGTGCAGCTTCGAGGGTGTTATGCGTCCACCACTGACCATGACCCATCCGGACCGTGCAGGAGGCCCGTACGAACAGCGAGCGCACGGCGACGTTCTTCGAGAAGGCGAAGGAGCTCGACACCGCGGTTGTCAGCATGGTGCGAGATGCGAATGCCGCACTCGAAGGGCCCGGACGTTCTGCTCTCCAAGAGCGGCTCGAGAAGCTCTCAGGGTGCGTGCAGCGTCCGGTCACCCTGAACGCTGTCTCTGATTAGAAATGGCTCCTACAGCACGCTTTCCGACGCCCGCGTCAGCGCAGAGAAGCTGAGAGGCGGCAGTGGCTTCTGGGGAGCTTTCAAGAGCTTCGTATACGCGAAACGCAACGAGGCGGTCCTGGAGGATCTCAACGGACAGATCGCAAATGCAATCACGGTATTCCAAGTATGCCTGCGCATCCTGAATACACGTGTTGGCACTCATATGATGCATGTGCGCTCTGTTGTAGCTTCGTGGGCAAGCCGCAGTGGAGATCGCAATCAACGCTGTTGGACACGACCTCAAGGTGCACCTACAGCGTATTTCTTGGGCCACACTTACTGAGCTATAATTACGTGCAGAGCGTTCAGATAGCGGTCGACAATACAGGTTAGCTAGCTGCTCATTGCGATATTCTCTCGCTCATAAGCACACCAGGGATTATTGTCGACGAGGTCAGCCGTGATATCAAGGTCCGTATCATGATGTCCTTCGTTAAGTCTGACGACCCTCTGAATGCAATACTCATTTTCGCGCGTAGACTGTGCAGCACACAATGCTTAGCGTAGGTTGGTGTTTTATTTGTTTTCTGTTTCTCTATAGGGAGCTAACATCACGGGTCATCGACAGACGAAGAACGACTGATTCAATCTATACCACACGCTCCTGCCGGGTATCATTCCGTCGACGAGCTCAAGAGTGGCTTTTTAGAAGGCACGAGAGAAGAGCTATTCGAAGATGTGGAGACATGGACTCGCAAACCGTTACCGCCTCCTCGCAAAACACTGCAGCAGCTGTACCTGCTAAGCGGCGGAGCCGGCCTAGGGAAGTCGTCCGCCGCCCACCAACTTTGCGTACGGATCGCCGAGCGCTGGGGACTAAACCTGGGCGCGTCCTTTTTCTTCGTCCGCGGCGGGGGTGACTTGGAGTCAGCACGATATTTGTTTTCCACTCTGGCGCACCAACTTGCCCTGTCCCAGCCGATCCTACGGCCTCACATTATCGCAGCGGTCCCACTATTCCTGAAGGATGGGGAGCAGCAACAAATGCTGAAGACGTTCGAACGGCTGCTCTGGACCCCTCTTACCCAATTTGCGATCTCTGGAGCTGAACAACCCTCGACCTTCGTCGTAATTGATGGCCTTGACGAGTGCAAGGACCGACCGCTAGTACCCCAGCTCCTGAAATGTCTCCTTCAGCTCGTACGAGCATTCCCCTGGCTACGCATTTTCGTCACAGCCAGACCCGAGCCCCATATAATGCCCTACTTGACATCGCCTAGCTCTTCCCATATCGTTCACCATCTTAGCCTAAGCGACACAGTTGCCGAGTGGAGGGAAGATGTCGCCAACTACCTTCGTGCGACTGTCCCACAACTGGAGTCATGTCGCGATTACATCCGTGTCAACCCAGATAAGCTTGAAAAACTCATTCTCCGCGCCGAAGGCGTCTTCATCTACGCACGCCTTGCAGTTAACTTCCTCGAGGCATTCGACGATAATCCAGAAGAGCTGTTCATCCATCTTCTAGCATCCCGCGAGTCTCGGAAGTTGCCACCGCTAGACAGCCTCTATCTGCAAATCCTCCGCTTAGCCTTTCCTTCCGAATATCTCGACATAATGCCAGAGCGCTTGCATCGCCTCCGGGAAGTGTTGACGTTCCTCGCCCTGCGCGCAAAGAACCTCTCTCCCGCAGCTATTGCAGCGCTACTCGGGCTATCGGAAGATAATGTGGTGCGAATGGTCGATCGTCTACGCTCGGTCCTGCTGGTCGACCAGAAAGGCGATGTCGTACCTTTGCACGCCACTTTTGCCGAGTTCTTGGTGGACGGCAGCCGGTGCATCGATCCATTATTTTATATCGACCGCGCTGGCGGACATGCCATACTACTGTCCAGATGCTTTACGGCATTTTCGCTCGAAACCGCCGGGGAGTTTTTAGCAAATGCACGTCGCAACTCCAACGACGGATTTATTGGCTATGTACGCTACACCTCGAACTGGCACCTGCACTTGAAAAATGCAAGATACAGCACAGAACTCGGCCAACAACTCCAAAGATTCGTTCAGCTGCAGCTGCCCGTGTTCACACGACTACATGGGCGGCATGATCAAGAGGACGATCTTGCGGCGTTCCTCAAGGTGCACCTGATACATTCATACATGCACCCGTGGCTAACCTAAATTTCAGCGATCCGGCACTCAGGCGCATCCTGGCATCTGCGCCGAGTATTGGAAGTTCAACCAGTATTGCTATCTCTGGTGGTTGGCGCGTGTCAGGTACAAACACGACGGCGTCCCTCGCGCCGTAATAACCCGCGAAGGTGTCACAGATGATCCGGTGAAAATTGCTCATTGTCTCAACGCAGAACCGGGGGTTGGGCATACTAAACATACTGTCTCGAGTGATGATTTGATTTGGTTTAGTGCAGTCATCGTGCAGCTTGATGCGCATATACGGAGCTCTGGCTCAGAGAATCTATGGTACAATAGTGCTCTCGAGGGGACATGCACTTGGCCATAGTGACTCTGCTGTATGTTATTCTCTTCCGTAATCATACTGGTTCAAGACTGATGCTAGTCAAACGATTTTGCTCCATCACGCAGTAGCCGCAAAGGGCACAGCTTGAATATTCTTCGGCGTCCGAGATGAAAGGCTTTTATTCATCTGCTTCGAACGCCTGGCGAAGGATATTCAAAGCAGAAGCATACTGTACGATCTGCAGAGATTTCCATCTGCTTGAGACACCATCCTCAGCTTCACTCATGAGGTGATGCAAAGAGCTCGCCACATTCTCGTATCTCTGCTGTTTTATGCCTCGTGTGTCTAACGCCGCTCGGGATGGCAAGAACGGCAGTCATCCAACCGGTTATGCGCATAAAAACGATCTGCGAGAGCATTAGCCATGGCTGCGTCTAATGCTTGGCACTACAAATTTGCGCACTGCACAATATATACAACGCTGCCCCAGCGAGGTGCGTCCACCCAACGGCTCGAGCGAAGAGCGGAGGCTACCGCGGAAAATAGTCATTAACATTCGGAGCCCGGATTCGCGCGCATGTGCTACGATCCGCGAAGAGCTGGACGATAAGGCAGGCGTGGCCCAGAGCTCTTGAGCTTGAGCTTGAGTTTTTTATATAGCTCGTGGACAAGAGGTCTCTGTGTCTCGAGATCGGCGCAGCACCGAGGCGACGTGAGCGCGCTTTGGTGGTGTTTACTTCGGGCATCAGACGTCGCTTCCGATTGGTGGAGGCCTCTCCTTCATCCCTCCGCATCCACTCGGCAGCCTCTGCAGCTTGTTCAAATCATTCTGCGAGTCCGAGGAAAGCAGTAATGCATATAACGCCTTCCTATCTTTCTGAACAGACCACATGAGGTGTGACCGCTAACAGTGACAACTTCTGGAGACACTCGGATTGCAGGGATGCAAGTCATCTCCCGAGAGTGGTGCGCGCAGCACTGGCATTATTGCTTCCGATGCACTTGCTAGCTGGTACCCACGGTGCGTCACGTCGACACTCAAGTTCTCAAACCTGAAGTCCGTCTATTAATGACTGATGCATCAGGTGCTGCAGCGCGCTGGAATGGTCCGCGTGGAAAGTGGATATCGCATCTATCTCAAAAATGGACCACGGCAATACTTCACACGTCCCTGGGCGGTCTAACGGGAATTCGAGGCGAGTATATGCAGCCGCGTCCTTCGAGCTCTCCTCCGCACACTCATATTCTTCACAGATACTTCTGGTTACCAGAAGTCTTGACTATGGGAGTGCAATGCAGGGAAGTCAGGATAAACAACGGTGCCATGCAAAGGTTTGGGTAGGCGACCTATTCTAACCGCTCAGCGCGCGATTAACCTTCGCCTTCGTCTTCATGCGTGGCATGTCTTCCTTCCATGTCGTACCGGGCCCGCCGCGACGCTATTCGTTGCCCGTAGACATCCAAGTTTTGACCCCAAGCACCGCGTTAGTAGCCCTAGTGCCACTATTTAAGGGCCGGTCGAGAGCGTTGCCTAGCGTGCGTCCGGGTCTCGAGCATGACATCTCTCCCTGTCACTCGAAAGCGAGATCTCACGGCGAAGTGCACGCCTGCAATGTAATCGCTTCCACAGGTTTATTAAGCAGCAGTCCAGCACAGCGTTCTGCCTACGTCAGGAAAACCTGGGCTAGATTATAACTACCTGTAAGCAGTTATAAGGTCCATAATGTCCATAAGCACTAGGGGGGGATTATAACCGATCATAACTTCGACAGACTTTCCCTGAGTGTGCATAATCATGACCCGGGCACTTATAAGCATACCCAGGGCGATTATAATCATGTCGACATGATTATGCACGATAATAACCGTGCCTGGGCAAAAAAGGTACAAAAAGAGTGTTCTGACACCCCCATATCATGATCTGTTAACACCTGTCGTGCCAGCACCGAACTTCGCTGCCGTCCGTCCTGCAACGTTGCCGCAACCGGGGATCGAACCAGGAACCTCCGGCATTGCCAACGGTACGTTCTTACCACTCCGCCATCTGTCCGATACTTCTCAAGGAATCAATAAGGACATATGCCCACGTCTGTCAACGCTGCCCGCGCACTGGGACCGGCGCACTCGTTGTAGTAGTATTAAGTCTGCTGATGTTCTAGGTCTCTTCGGAGGAGGCCTAGCGCATTGGCGAGATTTGTCAAAAGAAGTGGTGACTTGAGTGAGCTAGCGGTGACAAGCATGTCCTGCACCTTGCATTAAGTGGCGGCTGATAGCTAGCAAGGCGGGCGCAAAGTGGGCTTAGCATGTGAGGGTATGTTAGAACAGAGACGGAGCTGTGTGGTACACCGAATGTATAGATGCCATGCATGAACGGCATAATGCTGTCCGAGGTCCAATAGGAGCAAGCCCCTTGGTATGGGGCCAGACCCACAATATGGATGGTTATATCGAGATCACGAGGTTTTATGAGCACCTATGCGTGGTTATAACATCTCGTGTATGCTTTGACCACTCATAATCAGTGTTGAAACAGGTATGAGCACTCATATCTGCGCATTATCACATCCAGAGCTCATATAATCGTCCATAATCACTTCAGCGGCCTTCATAATCATGCATAATCGTTTCAGGTCCCAATATAACCACTGCGGTCACGATTATTGGCAGATATACAGCCTTATAGGCAGGATCCTGCACGATTATAATGGCCATAATGTCCGTAATCAAGTATAACCCAGCCCAGGTTTTCCTGACGTATTTTGACAACTATCCGATGCTCGATATGCGCTGATTGGTGGGTGTGCAGACGAAAACGCCTCGATATTTCCTCTTCTCGACGCTCGGTCCGTTGAGGAGGATACAGCGAACCTGGTCCGGAAACAGATGCGATTGAGGTACAGAGTTAAAGCAACGTGCTCCTTCAAGACGGCATACACGCGAGCGGCGGACTCAATGGGCTTTTGCAAGTCTGACTTACCCTGCAGGCTGCGCGTGCTCGACCCACGCCCGTCCTTGCTCGAGCTATCAGCTATTCCACCGCGTCTGCCGGCAGACTATTGAGACGATGTGCGTGCAGGTGTAGTCGTACGCTACGTCACTTCTGCCTCAGCGCCAGTGCCATTTCGAGCTTGATCACAATGTCATAGCTGTGCGCCGTACTCAGGCTACTCACGAGGCAGAAATATCGCATTTGGTGTGGCATGGCATGTAGGCTAAAGCCGGCTTTCCCCAGTACTACAAGCCGATTGACTCGAGCCCCCATGATCTGTCCCCAATATCTAAGTTATACCAAAGCTCCCCTGTCCCAGAATCTCGTATCTTGTCAACGAGATCCTGAAGAATGGCGGTGTACCTCGTAATGTCCTTTGTGCGTATACCAAACGTCAAGAAGTCCGGGGTCCCTAATCCGTAAAATTCGACATAGGACTGCCATTTACTCTTCAGGTCCGCAATCGTCAAAGTTGCTGCTCGACTTGCGGTGTAGTCTCCTGCCATCTTCCGCCACCACAGTTCACAGTAGAACTGGAAGTTTATATATTTGCGTAGATCCTGTTGACTGCAGTCAGTTTGGCAAAATGCGATATCGTGAGACGCATACATGCCTCCAAATGAGGGGCAATCCGCTGGGCATCTCCTAACAAAGGCCTGTCGAGGCGTATGATTATGGGTTGAATGCGTCGTATACCCCGTAGATCCTGCTGGAGATCCTCGCTATGCTCCGCACGACCAAGGTGCGACACCCAGGAGCTACTGTATGAGCGACAGGATGAGATTGGATCGCGGGCAGAGGCATTGCTGTCAGCCGAGACATTGCTGTCAGCCGAGACATTGCTGTCAGCCGAGGCATTGCTTTCAGCCGAGGCGTCGCTGTCAGCCGAGGGATGGCTATCAGTGGAGGCATGGCTGCTAGTCGAGGGATGGCTGTCAGTCGAGGCATCGCTGTTAGCCGCAGCATCGTTCCCTGCGCGAGATCGTGGCCCGCTTCCTAGGTATAGCGTTGTCATGTCACAATTGAAGGCCGCAAGACATTTGCGCGCAAGAAGAGCATGTCCCTCTCGTGGATCGACGCGGTAGAGCGGATCTATGCAGCGCTTGCGCTCGACAATGAACTCGGCAAACGTGGCGTGTAGGGGAACCAGATCTCCATGCTCGTTGACTAGGAGCACTGCGCGCAGGCGACCGGCCATCCAGAGCACGTCGTCTTCGGTGAGTGTGAGGAGCAGGGAGATGGCGGCGGGCGGCATGGCAGAGTTACCGAGGGCGATGAATGTGAGAAACTCGTGCAGCCGCTTGTGCATGGCTGGCCAGTCTGGGAGGTCCTCTGGGGGAAACGCAGACCGCAAGACCTGCAAGTAGAGCTTGTCGAGAGGTGACAGTCTGATGCCCTTGGTCTCGAGGAGAAGCGAAAGACGTTCTTCAGGGCGTGTGTCGTACATCCCCAGATAGATGACAGCGACGCGAGCGTAGATGAATAGGCCGTCCGCTCGATCAACGAGACGATCAAGTTGATCGGGATGGGCGCGGACGAAATCTCCGTAGGGCTGGATCAGCGGAATAGTCTGCCGCAGGTAGAGCTCGACGCTATCCTTGGACTCATCTACCATTTGAGGGTCGTCGAGGCTCCGATGGTACACGATGTCCGCGGCGGACTGGGAAGTCAGGACGGGCAGGATATGGGGTTCAGGGCGGGTGGCGAGGAAGAGTCTGAGCCAGGGCACACCGCGCACCAGTTTGAGTAGACAGCGAAGGAGCTCGGGGACGAGCTCTGTGTCCTTGCACTCGTCCAGACCGTCGATGACGATGAACGTGGTTTCGTTGAAGACCGCTCCTTCCGGATGCTCCGCCAGCGGCTTTAGGAGCAGCTGTTCGAACGTGGGCCGGACCTGCTGCTCCCTTCCATGGTCGAGGAACCTCTGAGCGGCGTCGAGGATGAAGGGTTTGAGCCGCGGCTGGGTCAGTGCGAGTTGGCGGGCCACTGTGGAGAAGAAGGCGTGGGCGGAGTCGACGCCTCCGCGGGAAAAGAAGAAGGACGCGCCAAGATTCAGGCCCCATTGTTCGGTGAGGCGGACGCAGAGTTGATGGGCAACTGCGGACTTCCCGAGGCCAGCACCCGCGGTGAGCAGCAAAAGGCGTCTTGGGTCGCCTGCGGGGTACCCGGGACCGGACCACGCCTCGAGAGTCCCAAATGTTTCGTTCCGCGTGCCTGGCATGAAGCCGCTCTTGATTTCCTTGACAGAGACGTAGCTTGCATCTGCATGTGGGAGGTCGTCGATAATCCTCCGCTCTTCTGCGGAATTCGCAACATGGATCAGACGTGAACAGGGTTCATCACAATTCGACGGACCTGCATTTATGGCCATATGTTCGACTCTGCGCACTGCGTTCTCCGTCGCCCCCTGCGTGCCGACCTGCTCGAGGGTCAGGCTGCTTCGTCGAGAGGCCATCTCCGGCATGAGCACGTACACTGAACATCGTCACGGCATTTGCGAGCTGCTCATTTATCCCTGTCAGGGCATCTTTGTTTCTCTCTACAAAGAAGAAACGCTTGCACGAGCCGCGAAATCCGCGTCCTCCTTTCAATCCGTCAGCGGTGCCTTGGATTTGGTTCAACGCTCTACGCGATACCGACGATTCCTCAGCAAGTGATTGGCAGATGTTGGATATTTGTACGCACCCCGAGAGCCTATCTAATCGTTCCTGCAGCACGACACTGCCCCCTCCGCGGCCTACGTTTGCCTCGTTCACCATCGCTGTGATAACCTCTCCGAGAGTCTTCGTCTTCTCGAAGAACGCGACCTCGGTCTCGCTGTTCGTCCGCACATCCTGAGCATGGACGCACGCAGGGTAAGTCTCGGGCGCCGCCGGCAAATCATTTGCACTCACCTTTACTCGCTTGATCACGATGGATAAGGTGGAAACGACGGGCTTCAGGGCAGGAACAGAAACCGCATCAGCGACTACGGCAGTAATGTCGGACAAGGCTAGCAGGACGTTGAGCGCGTCGTCGAACGCTTGGTCTCGACGTCGAGACTGGGGCATGGTGGTTTCAGAGAGCAAGAGTGGGCGCGGAAAGGACGGGCAAATAGGCGGACAGGAAAGGCGTGGATGCAGCGTGGCACCAGTGCCGGGGAAGTAGACCTAACCAGCCACGCGCCTTGCAAAATGGCGATACGACAGAACATCAACATTCGTATTGGATGTCTGCGTAGGAGTCGCGACCTCGCTCTCGTGCAGCAGTCCATTGTGCTATGACTGGGTACACGTTGACATTGAAAATTGAACATTGAGACACTGGGTCAAGAGCGCGCAGCGCCCAGGAACGCGGCCGGCGGCCTTTGCTGGGACGCTCATGGCATGCTCTCGCGCCCGCGCTTCCTGCGTTCGCCCTCCACCTCCTCGACAGCACCGACGAGCATTATTTCGGCCGGAAGTGGGAGTCAACGCTGTACGAGATAACCGACTATACGCGCAAACCGTCTGCGCCATCCCCGGGTCCTCGGCCCCAAGTCGTGCGTCGTACGCATACCGTCTCCGCATGTCCCTCGCACAGCCGCGCCGCGCAATGCGTTGCAGCCGCGCCGCCGACTCGCACGAGATTTGGTCGCCGCACGGCACCCGCGGTTTAGGGCAATACCAGATATTGCGCGGCCTCACGGCGAGGCGGGGCGTCCAGACCGCGTGGTCCTGGGCACGTCTGCGCGCGCGTCTCGCCGCGTATTATCGACATTTTCTGTTCTGCGGGGAGCAGCTGTATCTTATGGAGTTGGTCCAGGTTTGCCACACTGGCGCCCTTGCGCTCGTTTGGCATCTCAGGACACTGCTAACTCAAGACGCTTCCCCGCCTTGACCATGGCCGCAGAAGCCGTGCACGTCGCTTCAACGCTGCTCAGGCAATCGGATCCGCGAAGTAAGAACTCCCAATTCAAACACTTAGCAGCTTACTATACAGGCCGACGCCGATAGCCCTCAGAGCCTCAGGAGCAGGCTTGATGACAGTAAGTTTCACAGTATCTAGTCTATGGCCAAGTCATACCACAATTCTCCC